TGCTAGCTTTGATGTGATCAAGAGTTTTTGAATTACATCTAACATATTAACACTTAACCATTAATGAAAAAAGTTGTAATACAGCTAACACGGGAAACTGCCTTATACCAAGCAATGCATAGTTTTGAAGAGGGTACGCATTCTGCATATGAATTTTCCATATTTTCAGTCAGACATTTTCCATATCCCTGCCTAAAGGTGCTCAGAATTGAACCTCAAATCTTTTGCGTGCAAAGCAAGTGATCTACCACAGAACCCAAGACTTTTACTCTGAATTACTCAAGATATGGCCCTTTCTCCTTCATGCATGCTTTGTCTAGGAATTAAATCTTTAATTTCAATTAAACAACCATCTCACATCCAAACTGAGAATTGCCCCCTTAGACCAAGAAACTGGACACAAACAGCAAAATGTTATAGATTCTACTAGATTCGGAGCTCGTATATTTAATCTCCAAATAAAACAAGTTTCTTATCTAGTTCTGTTCTATACTATCTTAGCTATGAAATGGAGAATGGATTGCAGAGCAAATGACGTAGTGTCTCTCTTTTAAAGAAACTATCATTTCCCTTTCCTGTGCTGCTTTCCTGTGTTTATTAGAGTTTCTGGTACTGCCTTAACATTTTAATCTCCAATGCTCAAAGTTGGACATTGAAGAAAAGGCCCTTGATTCAACTTCTTCAGCATCAATATTTGAGCATCTGCAAAAGGGAAAGGACTTGAATATACTCTTCCCTTTCACCACTGATCATCATTACTCAAACATTAGTGTTGAACTCACTGGCTCCAGCTTCAGTCATGTGGAACAATGATCAGCTTCTGAACAAGGCTCTCTACTCACATTTAGATTAAAGGATTCACCAAACTAACTTACTGGTATATTGACAATTATTTTTAATATTCCATCTTGCAAATGAAAATATTTCCAAGTAACATTAAGGTGAGATCCAGGACTTAGCAGATCTGGGCACTGTGTGGTTTGGACCCAGGGACCATGCCACATAAGTCTCAAGTCCAATTCGCACAACCATCTCAGTTTTTTGGGCTCCCAGAGCCTGAAAGACCAAGAGGACACCACCCCTCCCCCAACCCCCTATTTCCACCTAGAAATGAAATAAAATATGCCTGGTTGCCATAACTTTGCTACTTATGCCCTCCTGGCACAAGGAAATGATGAGCCACAAGGGGAGGAAAATCCCTCCTCACCCCCACCCTCCAATCTCCTGGTGTGTCAGGAGGGCACAAAGAGCTAAGTTATGATGGACAGGTACATTTTATTTAATTTTTAGAGGAAAATTGGGAGGGATGGCTGCATGCCATCCCAATTTTAATCGAGATTCCATGTAGCCACCCCACCCCATTCCCAGGAAGGCCCAGGTTTTTTGGGGGAGTAAAGATGGTATGCACGCCAGATCTGTCAACGGAAAAACAACCTTTATCCAGGATTTAATCCTGGATGAGCGGGCAGATCTGGCGTGCATCACAGAGACCTGGTTGGACGAAGCTGGAGGCGTGAATTTGACCCAGCTTTGCCCACCAGGTTTTTCTGAGCAGCATCAGCCGAGATCCGGAGGGCGGGGAGGCGGGGTCGCAGTGGTCTATAGAGATTCCATCCCTCTGACCAGGAGCCCCATCTCGCAGTCAACAAATTTTGAATGCGTCCACCTGAGGGTGGGTGACCGGGACAGAACAGGGATTCTGCTAGTGTGCCGTCCACCTCGCTGCACTACAGTCCCCCTACCTGAGCTAGCGGGGGTGGTCTCGAGCCTGGCGTTGGAGTCTCAACGGCTTCTTGTGTTGGGAGACTTCAATGTCCATGCCGAGGCGGCCCCCACAGGAGCGGCTCAGGACTTCATGTCTGCCATGGCAACCATGGGGCTGTCCCAACAAGTATCTGGCCCCACCCACTGTGCTGGACATACATTGGACTTAGTTTTCTGCCAGGGATGGGAGGAAGGTGGTGGTGTGGAGGAGTTGACTATCTCTCCGTTGCCATGGACCGACCACTTCCTGGTCAGATTTAGGCTCACTGTGCCCCCTAACCTCTGCAGAGGTGGAGGACCCATTAAGTTGGTCCGCCCCAGGAGGCTTATGGATCCGGATGGATTCCTGACGGCTCTTGGGGATTTTCCCGCCGCCTCGGTAGGTGATCCTGTAGATGATCCTGTGAATGCTCTCTGGAATGGGGAGATGACTAGGGCAATTGACACGATCGCTCCGGAACGTCCCCTCTCAAGTAGCCGAGCTAAACCAGCCCCTTGGTTCACTGAGGAGCTGGCAGCGATGAAGCGAAGGAAGAGGGAACTAGAGAGTGTGTGGCGATCGGATCCGAGCGAGCCAAATCGAACACGGTTTGTGTCCTTTTTAAGGGCATATGCCGCGGCAATAAAAGCCGCAAAGAAAACCTTTGCGGACACTATTGCGTCTGCAAAGAACCGTCCGGCTGAGTTGTTCCGGATTGTCAGAGGCCTTTTAAACCCCGCCAATCTAGGCGGGAACCCTGACAACTCGGCAGCTCGCTGCGAAGCTTTTGCTCGGTTCTTTGCAGACAAAGTCGCTTTGATCCGTTCTGGTCTGGACACCATATTAAGGGCAGTCTCTGAGGATGTAACACAAGCACCTGCTTGTCCTATTTTGATGGATTCATTTCAATTGGTGAAACCCGAAGATGTGGACAAGATACTTGGAGGAATGAGGCCTACCACGTCCATCCTAGACCCCTGCCCATCCTGGCTTCTAAAGGAGGCCAGAGGGGGATTGGCTGAGTGGGTTGAGGTGGTGGTTAACGCCTCCCTTCGGGAAGGCCGAATTCCAGCGAGCTTAAAACAAGCTATTATAAAACCGCTGTTGAAAAAACCATCACTGGATCCCACTATATTTGACAACTTTCGGCCAGTTTCCAATCTTCCCTTTTTGGGCAAAGTCCTGGAACGCGTGGTGGCCTCACAACTCCAGGTATTCTTGGGAGACATGGATTATCTGGATCCGGCACAGTCTGGTTTCAGACCGGGACATGGAACCGAGACAGTCTTGGTCACCTTAGTGGATGATCTGCGCCGGGAGCTCGACAGGGGGAGTGTGTCCCTGTTGGTGCTGCTGGACCTCTCAGCGGCCTTCGATACCGTCGACCACGGTATCCTTCTGGAGCGCCTTGCAGGGATGGGTCTCGGGGGCACTGTTTTACAGTGGCTCCGGTCATTCCTGGGGGGTCGCTCCCAGAAGGTGTTATTGGGAGACACCTGTTCAACGCCACAACCCTGTCGTGTGGGGTTCCTCAGGGTTCAATACTGTCCCCCATGCTGTTTAACATCTACATGAAGCCGCTGGGCGAGATCATCCGGAGTTTCGGGGTACGGTGTCATCTGTACGCAGATGATGTCCAACTCTGTCACTCCTTTCCACCTGCTACTAAGGAGGCTGTCGAGGTCCTGAACCGGTGCCTGGCCGCTGTAACGGTCTGGATGAGGGCAAACAAATTGAAATTGAATCCAGACAAGACAGAGGTACTCCTGGTCAGTTGCAAGGCCGAACAGGGTATAGGGTTACAGCCCGTGCTGGATGGGGTCGCACTCCCCTTGAAGGTGCAGGTTCGCAGCTTGGGTGTGATCCTGGATTCATCGCTGAGCCTGGAGCCCCAGGTCTCAGCGGTGACCAGGGGAGCATTTGCACAGCTTAGGCTCGTGCGCCAGCTGCGCCTGTACCTTGGGAAGTTTGACTTGGCCACGGTAGTCCATGCTCTGGTTACATCCCGCTTAGACTACTGCAACGCTCTCTACGTGGGATTGCCTTTGAAGACGGCCCGGAAGCTCCAACTGGTCCAACGTGCAGCAGCCATGATACTAACAGGAGCAGGACGCAGGGAGCATACAACTCCCCTGCTGTACCAGCTCCACTGGCTGCTGATCTGCTACCGGGATCAATTCAAGGTGCTGGCATTGGCCTATAAAGCCCTAAARGGTTCCGGCCCAAGATACCTAACTGACCGCCTCTCAGCCTATGAGCCCACGAGGACTTTGAGATCTTCCYGGGAGGCRCTGRTCRCYATCCCYCCRGRBTCACAGGCARGGCTGGRYGYGACYAGAGATAGGYCSTTCTCYGTGGTGGCRCCTCYGCTGTGGAACACCCTTCCCGTGGACATCAGGCTAGCCCCCTCCCTGTTGATATTCCGCAGGAAGTTAAAGACCTGGCTATTTAAGAAGGCATTTGACCAAGAAGTGCAATGATTGGTAATTTGACCATAGGAATGGAACAACAGAAATGATATCGGATTGTGGGTTGACGATGAGACGATTCAGAATGTGGTAGAAATTTGGTAGTAATGWTGATGGTTTGATAAGATGTTTTTCTGATAATGATGAATTGTGGATTATTTTGCACTATGTTTTGTAATTTGCACCTGTTTTTTCATGTTGTACACCGCAATGAGTCGCCCTTAAAGGGCTGAGAATTGCGGTATATAAGCGCAGTAAATAAATAAAATAAATAAATCTAAAACAAAGCAAGTTTTTAAAACCTGCTTTGGCACAGATTTTGGAAGCACCTGATTTTTTTTCAGGTTTGTCATTTAAAGCCACATATATGCCATTTGTTATAATTTTCAAAATAATTGTCCTTCTCTTAGTCCCAATATGATCACAAGCACAGTTGGTGAGGACACAAGAGTCTCCCTTCCCAAGGAGGCCAAAACTGCCCCTGCTATGTTGTCCTTCTAGTGACAGATTAAAACCTTTTTATTCATGCTTTTAAAACAGATTTTTTTTTTTTTGAAGGACAGACTAGGGTGTCTTGTCTTGGGCTAGTGAAGTTGTTTTTAACAGCTACTTATTCATTTACATCACATTTTTCTTTTTGTTTTAATACTGTATAAATTCAATTCCATTGTAATATTTTTCTTTTATGCATTTTACTTCTATTGCTTTTTAAATGTGAATTTTTTAAATGTCTGAATTGTGAGAAAAAAGTAGAGCAAAAATAAATATTATAACAACATCAACTTATCTAAGATGACAAACATGCCTTTATTTGGATACCCTCCAAATGAAAGAGCTTCTGTAGTGGAATACGTTGCCTTGGAGTGTGGAGGAGTTTCTTTCTATGGACATTTTCAAGCAGAAACTGGAAATATGCTTGACTGACAATCTGTCAAAAGTGCTTTGACTGACATATGGCAGGGGTTGGACTGGATGGTCATTGTAATCTCTTTCAGCTCTATGATTCTATCATTTTCATCTGACAGGGCCAAAATGAAAAAATAATAATTTACAGCTATATTTTAAGATTTCCAATGATAGTATGAACCTTAGGAATATGCAACCAACATTCAGGACTAGGGCTTGAGTCAAAATGGATCGGCTTTGAAGGGGTCCAGCTGAAGTAGGCGATTTCGAGATGTAATAACCTGCTATCAGATATTTTGTAGAAACAAAGAAATGTCAACTTTTTGCTTCCACATCCCACTTTTCTAAAACTCACATTTTCGATTCTATAAATGAAGAAATTATGAACCTTTGGTAAATTATTAAAAAAGAAACTGAAACAAAATTCTTACTCAGCCATAGCCTTAACAAAATATATGTCTTGCTCTAGTGTCTTAATGTTCTAAATATTACATATGTTTAATGTTCTAGCCTAAATTTAGTTGTAAGTCTCAACTAGAGTACAGTTACAGTAACGGAATAATAACACTTACATACATCCCATTAATTCATTGAATGTAATATATCAACATGTATAATAGCCATGGGACTAAACTTTTGAAACACCTATTTACAATGGCTATTTAAACAATCAGGATTTGTATCTTGTTGCTCCATTGCTGGAACAAGCTTTATTCCTAGAATAAAGCTTGTTCCATTCAACTGAATTTGGTCAAATACCTTTTCATTATTGTGAAGAAAAATATTTCAATGCATTATTTTAAGATGAGTCAAGATAGTAATTTATTAAGAATATAATTATTTCTCTAATAATATATTATCATTTGTGAGTAAATTATTAATATTGTATAACACACCATTAATTTATATTTCTTTACTTACAATATTTCAGGGACAAAAAGAAGACAAGAGCATTCAAATACTGCCATGTGAAAAAACAGGGTAAATATGTGTAGTGTGTTCATAGTAATCATCATCTCACCAAACATACGAGCTGAAGACACTACAGAGCACTGCTGTGCAAAACCTGAATGTCATAAGCAATAAAACGTTAAGAGTAGCAAGTTGGAAGTATTAATGTGTTTTCTTCTTGTAATATAAAGCTCATTCCCAGAATTTCACTGGACCATGTGGACAGGCCAACTGTCACAGCTGTCTATCAAGTCTGAATTAGATGAAGGCAGACAAAGCAGGCTTTGTGGAGAAACTGAAGCAGCAGCCTCAAACATTTCCATTTCTCATCCAAGGGCACTGTGGGTGCATTGTCTTCTGCTTTCTGCAAAGAGAATGGAACAATTATGTTACTGAAATTCCACAGTGAGTCTGAAAGACTGTTTATGTCCAGGCAGGGAGACAGTGAAAACTGAAAGGAGTTTCATGACAGCAGGGGTAGAAGTTTCAGGATATATTCTCCAACGTATGATGGATCTGACTCTTCTCTCTCGTGGTGGTGTAAATCAGAAGAAACTCCACAAACGGTAATGGGGTGGAACTCATGGGTACAACTCTCTGTTATGCCTGACATTTTTGTAGAATTGCTGCATTCTATGGACTGTGGGTTTTTATTACCTTCCATCAATTTGTGTGTCCTATTTCCAAGAGTAAATCTAACGTCTACTTTCATAGAAAAACAGAAAACTGAAGCACTAACATTTTCAATGGGATATAGATCTGTAGATATTTCCGTAACTATGTTATTGAAGGGATCCACTGTTTAAAGTACACCATTCAGTTTCCCTTCTGGACAAAAAAGAAAAGAGCTAACTAAAACATTTGTAATGTTCCCACTGAATACCATGCCCTCAGTTCCTTCCTTCTATCCAGACCCCATGCCTCCTTGAGGAAATGAGCAATAACTCCCTAGAGGTGAAAAAATAGACACCCAGACACCCTTGGCAATGTGCCAAGTCAACATTAGGTGCTATAGAATACATCAGTCTGTTTTGCTAATCACTTCCTTTCCTGATATTATTTGAGTGCCAAGAATATTGTAGCTTGGTATATAAGCACATAATAACAAATACACAATGTACTATGTGTGGCCTTCTTAGATACTGTGTCTGCCTTTCACACACCTATCTGCAATCTTAAACTCAGAGTGACTTGTTTATAAGTAGAACTGCATAAGAATGTCATGCAGAAATATAGCTGAATTATTTATTTTATTGTTATTATACCTGTTGCTGTTAAATTGACATTAATAAACACTGAATCGTATCCAACATGGTACAAGTTTATACAATTGCATTTTTGCCTAATGGCAGTGCCTTGGATTCCAGTATGCAAGAAAAGCAGGGTAGAAATCCAATAAATTGATAGATTGATATTGTGCTTTCCTCCCTTTTCTTTGAACACCCAATACACTACATGTTGAAAATTCCTTTAATCAGTTTCCACAATAGTATGAGTACTGCTGCTATAGGAGATCATTGCTTTGCCTTTATTTTGTGTACTATTTTGCTAGCCAGGAGAAGTTGGTTCTCAAGGACTGAGTCTTTACATTTCTTGACATGATCAAGATAGCATTTCTGTCCTGTTTATTCTAGGCTTCTTGTATACACCAAAATAGTTTATGACATCTCAATCCAATCAAGGTAACATCTAACAACTAGGGCTGGGCGGTTTCATTTCGTTAATTCGTAATTCGTTAATAATTCGTTAATTTTGTTGATTACGAAGCGATAACGAACCATTCTGGAGCAATTATTAAAAAAAACGAATTTTCAAAAACGTTTTGTAAATGCTTCGTATTTCGATATTGTATTCGTTTCGTTATTGTTTTGAGGTCGTTTCGTTATAATTTCCGCATGTCTGGGCCAGTTTTATGGTTTAATTAGTGAAAAAAAATTATAATATCACACCAACAGTCAACAACAGAGGGAGAGGGAAGCTTCAGAAGTTTTTGGAGGTTTTTTAGCGTATTTCGCGGTCGCGAATCGATTCGTTATCGATTCGTTAATGTTTTGTAATTTTTTCATTTACGAAATTTCGTAAATATCGAACTTTTTAAAAGGAAAATTTTGTAATTATTTTAAATATCGAAACAAAAAAACCCCAAAAAACGAATCGATTTTAGAAACAAATTTTTCCGTTGTTACCCAGGCCTACTAACAACATATCCATTTAATTGACTATTTAGAGTCTTGAGTTCTTCCAGATGGCTCTGAAGCACAATGAGCTAAAATTGAGTATCCTTCTATTTAGAAAAGTAGATATCATTCCTTTAAAAGAAACTTGAAAACATTTTCAGGTGCCATCTTGGTTTTTGCTTTCTGAACCAATATTCTTTTTTACTATCTTCAAATATCTTTATTAGAATATGTTTAATGAAGTATTCATTTCTTCTGTATGGTATCCAAAATAACAGTGCAGATTGCAAAAAGACTGTAGAGTCCAGGATCCTCACAATGAGGCAACTGGGAATTCAATAATTTTTCAGACTTGGACTGTCCCACTGCTTCTCCCTGAGTGATGTTGCAATGATTGCCCAGTGTTTGGGACACTGGGCAATTTAGACCCCACATTTTTATCTAGATCCTTATGAAAACAACTTGATAGCAACAGCAGGGGGAGTGGAGATAATCCTATTTGCTGTCCCTGTGTAGCAGTAGCAGTACCAGAAGAACAAGCAGCAGCAGCAGCAGCAGCAGCAGCAGCAGCAACAGCAACAACAACAACAACAACAACAACAACAACAACAACAACAAAATTTGGGCTCAAAGCAGGGCAAAATACAGTTAAATACATCTACAAAATCGCATATTAAAATAGTTGAAATGCAACCATAAAAGCATATATTAAAAGGTACATGTATTAAAATACTTAGGATAAAAGTCAAAGCACAATAAACATAGAATGTGATTTAAAAATCATAGACTGGGTTGGCCTGCCAGAAAAGATAGGTCTTCAGGTGTGTTCTAAATTCTGACAGCTCATTTAGCTGTTGATTCTCTTTTGGGAGTTCATTCCACACAGTCTTTTGGCAACCAATGACAAGGTCCTATGGGTGATGGTCACCAGTCGGGTTCTGGCTGGTTGGAGAAAATGCCCACTAGAGGGTCCTAAAGGGAGGGTTGTGCAGGAGAAGATGATCCTGTAGGTATCCTGGACCCAAACCATGTAGAGCTTTTAAGGTCAGAACCAGGACTTTGAGCTTTTCCCAAAAACTAATTGACAACCAGTGGAGTGACTTGAGTATAGGGGCATATGCTCACTCCTAGATATTACTGTAATGAATATGGCTGCTGTGTTTTGAACTAATTGGAGTTTCCGAACTTGCGTACAGAGGTAGCTCAATATAAAATGCATTGCAGAATGTTACCAGCACGTGGACTACCATCCTCTAGTTCTAGGAAGGGGCGCAGCTGGTGTATCAACTGAAGCTGCTAGTAAGCATTGTGTTATATTGTACTGTGTTAATTGTCTGTTTTTAATCTACTGTGTTATTGTTATTGAATTTTATTGTAATTGTGGGCATCGAATTGTGCCAGATGTAAGCCGCCTTGAGTCCCCCCTAGGGGGTGAGAAAGGCGGGGTACAAATGACCGAAATAAATAAATAAATAAATAAGCACTCCTGAACATTGCATCCACCAGGGATGACATTTCAAGAAATGGATCCTGGTGCACTCCCAAGGCACAAACACAGTTTTTCAGGGGGAATGTAATCCTATCCAGAACTAATTGATACACCTCCATGCCTAGGTTTAGACCCTTGATGGCAAGCACCTCTGTTTTGTCTAGATTCAGTTTCAATTTGTTTTTGCTTCATTCAGCCCATTACCTCTTCCAGGCATTAATTCATGCTATCCTTAACTAAAGCTGTGTAGTCATAAAATGTCCCCTATTTAGGGGGATGTGCTGCTGATGAGGGTCCGATAGCAACAGATAGCAATGTCCAGATGTGGTGCATTCAGTCTTCTGCCCTGTCATACAACAGAAAGTTGGCACCACAAGTCATTGTTCAACATGGACATTTGGCTTAATTCAGACACACTGGTGGCTGTCACAAACATTTATTATCAATGAACTGTATTCTGCAATGGTGATGATTACAATGGATATAGGTTACATCCTTCATCGGGATATAAGTTGCATTCTAAGAAGACATCACCCTGCTTGAGTTGGAATCTAAAGGATCCTTAATAATATTCTTCATACAATGGCTGGATTATTTGTATCAGGGCTAGGCAATTGACCAGGTAATGTTGCCAAAGAAAGTTAGTACTGATTTCAGAAACAGCATGGAACCAAGTTCTTAGAAAAATGCAGAGCCAAGTACGCCCTAAGAAAACAGAAATACATCAATTAATTTGGGCTATGTATGCAGGTTTCATGTTACAATGTTAAAAGCAAACACCCTTAAACATTGCTGTTATAACAGCTTTTGCCAAAATCTTTCTTAGGGCAAGCACGTACCTTCTCATCCACAATTAGCATTAAACTAATTAACACTGATCTTCAATATATTTGTGAACAGTAGTTCCTTTCCTTTTTTGCTAGTCCCAAGTGTGATGTAAGAGTGATTGAGTAGCTAATTACTCTGTAATTGAATTTACACATTATACACTTGTTCAAGTGGACTACTTGTTCAGGAAAAAAAAACCTAAATGAAATTAAGCTATTCTGGCAAACACACATCCGCTGTATTAAAGAAAGAAATATAAAATGTTTTAAAATATGTTTAAAGTATTCATTATGGGTTTATTGAGCATGAGATGATATAGGCCCAAATCCAATTTCTGGTTCCAGCTGGAGTAAACCCATTGAATTGAGTGCATCATAAATATGTCATGTTCCTTAAAGTTAAATGTTTTTATATTAATTTTAAAATAATATTTTAGCAAATGTTAAACCTTTCATCATTTAAAAAAAATCAGATAATTTATCCCAAGAACTAGTTGTTCACTAATTATATGTATGAATACCCCATTCCACATATACTATTTATTCATTGTAAATAAAATTGTGTCCCTCATTTACATCTGATTATGTATTTTTAATATTATATGCCATATTATTCCATGGATACATTTTAATATAGTACTTACTCATTGGGATTGGGACTGAGACAACCTAAATTAAAATTGTCACTCATCTGTTAAAGACACTGAATCAGTTAAAGTAAGCTCATCTAACCTACCTTACGGAATTGTTTGTGTACATAAACAGAGAAGGGTGAAAACTATGCATGCATGTCAAATCTTTGGAACAAACGTAATATATAAAGAATACAAAAATAGTCATGGTCTGAGTGACTTGGATCAGCCTAATTTATTTAAGTGTTGGTTCAAGTTTATCAGGCATATCCATGAACTAATGAAATCACTAGGTGAAAAACCCAGTTATTTCTGGGAAAACAAAGAAAATTGAGGAGTTGCTATTCAGCACCAGATACTACTTAAGACAATGGTTTGCAGCTCTATGTGAATTACTTTGTTCTAGATCAGCCCACGTTTTAAAAAGAGATGGTGGAAACCCAGAGGCTATTCATAAATAAATCCCTAGTGAATATGTGTAGGGAAGCAAGATCATGCCCCCTAATTCCACCTGAATGAGATAGACTGGAATAACACTCTGGCCTGAACTATGGTTTGAAACCTATGTTATGTCTCAGAGTAAAAACTGGGCAGCAGCAATGGGATCAACAGTGATGATGGAATGGTCTGAGTGTATTCTTCTCTCTACTTTCTTTTTGCAGTCAAGTAAAGACAGGCATTTGATGATCAACTATACAGTTCCTATCCCACTAAAATAATGTCCTGGATCCTGCTAATTGTTGTACTGGTATGTATAAAACAGCCAACTCAGGGACTATTTTAGCTGTTATGGAAATGATAATGACACACATTATGGAATATAGTTGTTTATATAATTGTCTAATTATAGACTCATAGAATTAATAGGCAGACAACTATTGATTCCTTTGTCAATTCAGAATATGTTATGTAGCATCTATGAGCAATAACTATCTCCATACTACTAAATACCTCTAGCCAATATCCCAGAGCAATTTCTTCTATAATCTAACAGTTTTCACCAAAATAAAGTTTCTCCAACTGTTGAGCTTACAGGTAGGTATCCTGATATCCTCCAGATATTCTAGTACAGGGGTCCTCAAACTAATGCCCAAGGGCCGGATACAGCCCTCCAAGGTCATTTACCCGGCCCTCGCTCAGGGTCAACCTAAGTCTGAAATGACTTGAAAGCACACAACAACAACAACAACAACAACAATCCTATCACATCAGCCAAAAGCAGGCCCATACTTTTCATTGAAATACTAATATAAGTTTATATTTAATTATTGTTTTAAAGTGTTTTTTGCACTACAAATAAGATATGTGCAGTGTGCATAGGAATTCATGTGTTTTTTTTTTCAAATTATAATCCGGCCCTCCAACAGTTTGAGGGACTGTTATCTGGCCCTCTGTTTAAAAAAGTTTGGGGACCCCTGTTCTAGTATATAACTCTAATAATATGTAATTTCTGACCATACTTACTAGGTATGATTTCCAGAGCCAGGAATGAAAGGAGAAGTCTTTGCCTTTGTCTGTGCATTTGTGTCTCATTGTATTTTATTGTAACAAGACACTTAATGTTTGCCTGTTGTTATTATTATTAAAAACATCTGAAGAACATTAGCTTACTTGTATCTGGTTCAATTGAAATCCACTTACTTGCAGTTTCTGCTCACTGGTACTCAGAGGTGGCCCTAGGTAATTTTCAACGGTAAGCACCGCCCCCGCCCCCCCCAATCACTGATATATATTTTCTGTTCGTCGTGGGAGTTCTGTGTGCCATATTTGGTTCAATTCCATCATTGGTGGAGTTCAGAATGCGCTTTGATTGTAGGTGAACTATACATCCCAGTAACTACAACTCGCATATGTCAAGGTCTATTTTCCCCCAAGAGCACCTCAAGAGCGCCCCTGGGCAAAATCAACTATACTGCAATGCTTACTTTGTGTAATGGGTTGAGCCGCCCCTGCCCATGTGGGAACCTAAGGCTCTTTCCATGGCCCCACATGGCAAGGTAGGGGGGGAGGTCAAGCAGCACCCCTCCCCCCTCTCTGTCTCTCTCCCCCTCCCTTCCCCATAACGGAAAGGGGAAGGGGCAGGTCAAGCAGCACCCCTCCCCCCTCTCTGTCTATCTCTCTCTCCCCCCCTCCCCTCCCCTTAAGGGGGAGGTCAAGCAGTATCTCCCTCTCTTTCTGTCTCTCTCTCCTCCTCCCCTCCCCATAAGGGAAAGGGGGAGGGGGAGGTCAAGCAGCACCCTCTCCCTTACCCTCTGTCTCTGTGTCTCTCTCCCCCTCCCCTCCCCTCCGAGGCATGCTCCCCTTTTGTCGCCCCTTCCCTTCTCCTTTTATAGGCTGGCCCCGAGCGTCCAGTGCATGCGCGCGCAGGCATCCACTCGCCTGCCCATCCACCCACTCGTGCTGCACCCGCCTCATGCTCCTCTCCTCTCTCCAATCCATGGGTGGGCCAAGGGGTAACTACACGCCGCACTTGCTCCCTTGCCTGGCCCGCTTTGGGTCCGGAGGCGTGCCTGAAGACCCCGGCGTGTGCACCAAAAGTCACCTCTTCTCCTGACTTTCTCCTCAGCCATTGGGACCAAGAGAGAGAGAGAGAGAGAGAGAGGTGGAGATGCCCACCTTTCCTGAAGGTAGGCGCAAAAACAAAGGAGGGAGCGGAGGTGGGAGATACCTCCAGCCGGAGGGGCTCTCTCTCTCTCTCTCTTGGTCCCAATGGCTGAAGAGAAAGTCAGGAGAAGAGGCGACTTTTGGTGCACACGCTGGGGTCTTCAGACACTTCTCTGGACCCTAAGCGGGCCAAGCATGGGAGCAAGTGCGGCGTGGCGGCTCTGCCCCTTGGCCCACCCACGGATTGGGGAAAGGAGAGAAGCGTGAGGTGGGTGGAGCATCGGGGGCTCGGGAAAGGGATCTGGTTATGGGGAAGGGATCGAATGCGGAGAACGATTGAGCACCGGCTCTGCATGCGCACCCGGTGGCCAGGTGGAGCAGGAACGAGAGGGGCTAGGTGAGGCTCTAGGGCCTGGCCCCTTTGGGAAGAGGGTCGCCCGGCAGTGAGGCAAGGAAGCCGAGGCTCCCCCCGGACTGCTAGGGCTGCTGTGAGCTGAGGGGGCACTCCTCAAGTGGTGGTCAAGGGGCATTTACAGAGGTGCCTCTGCGCCCCTGGCAAAAAAAGTGTACCGCGACCGCTTACTTTGCTTAATGGATGAGCCGCCCCTGCTGGTACTAGTCCTGCCCATTCTGAGGAAAGAACAGGTCTACATAACAGTCTTTAAGATCAGATTGTAGCTATATCTCCCCTTAATCTTATCTTTTCTAAAGTAACCTACCTAGCACTTTCAATAATTCTATATAGAACCTGGTTTCCACATCCCTAACCTATAGGCATTCTCAAATTTGGCAACAACCTTCTTAAAGTGTGATGGTCAGATTCAGATACAGTATTGTAAATATAATATTACTAGGCCTGTGCAATCAATGAAAAAAATATTGCAATATTCATTACTAAATTAGGGAGTGGGGAGGGAATCATTTCTAAAATATTTCCATAACTATATGCAGTAACTACTTTCCTGTTAAGTAATTGTGCCAATGGGGAAACTTCAGGGGTTCATTTCTCCCTCATTCTTAGAGCTATCAGCATGAAACTTGCTACAATTATAGAACACGTTTACCACTCTTAGCCCATCAGGTTTCAGAATGCTTCACTCAGTGACTGATTTTGAGGAAAATTTTGAAGTTTACAAACAACATTTCTAAAAAGAAACTACAAGAGCTATCTCATTGAATACACAAGATAGCAGGGAATCATTCCCCCGAGTTTCAGAATGATTTATGTATCTACGGATTTTTGGGAATTTTTAAAGGTTTTGATAAAAAAAATTAAAGCCACAACAGTTATCTCCTTGACACACAACACAACATAATCCATATCCAATTTAGGGATTTCCTCCCAGTCCAGCACAGATTTACTTACTAGCATCAGTCAGTCCTCTTTGCAGATTCAATAATTGAAACTCTGGCTGCTGCTACAGATGGACATTGGGGATGCCAGCAGAATTCTGGGAAATGTAATTTAAGGCAGGGCCTTTTGAATTCTCTGTCACAGGTGGTCCTCATCTTCCCAAACTATATTTCCCATAATTCTGTCTTCTCTCAGTCTCCTTCACAGCTTGCTCAGTTCCTTTAAAGAGGAATCAGTTTTTTTGGCTTCGCCTCACTTGCTTATGCTGCAAATGAAACTGACTTTGGAAGGCTTCCAAGGTCTACAGAATTCAAATGAAAAGTATTGGATGAGTGTTTGATTTTTAGGCTTTTGTATGGACCCCCCCCCCCCCCCCGGTGTTTGTATATACAAATCTTACAAATTAGATATGACAAATGAATTACAAATGAAGTTTTGTACACCCCTAATGATTACCGTTCAACAGAGCAGAACTCTTGTTCCTAGTGAGCTGGACACAATGTAACTGCAGCTGCATTTAAAATGAATAAAATATGTAATATTTTTATTAATCCCCCATATAGTGTCAAATTTCATTCATAGCTGTTAAAATAAGTCAAATTTCTTATTACCTTCATTAAGGCAAAATAGAAATAAAAATATAAATCTGCAGATAATAGCATAAAACCTATTTTTCATCCCAACTAAAGTAGACCCAGTAAATCAATGGGGATAAACACATAAGTTTCGTTTATTTAATGAATTTGTTCTGGTTGAGTTTAGCAGTTGGATTTAATGGATTTACTCTAGTTCTGTTGATTTCTTTGATACAATGACTCTATTTCATTTGAGACCAGAAGTTGGATACAATTCTCATATTGGTTTTTAACTGAATTTTATTTGTTTATTTTATTTACGATATTTCTACCCTGCCTTTCTCGAACCTGAAGATGACTCAAGAAGGCTTTACAACATAGGCATAGGCATATCATAGCTTTCCATTGCAAACTCCCCCAAAGAAGCCACTGTATCTCTATACACATTAAACCAAAGTCAGTACAGAATTTCCATTTTACACCATTCAGTTTTTAAAACTTACCTAGGTTATAATTACTTCCAATATGTGCCTTTGCTACTGGAAGGCAGCCCTTATGATTCTGTCACTAAGTGGTTGTGTTGGTCTAAAGTTATCTCCTAATATTCCATCACAGCTGTCTAGGAGTTCTGTTCCTTTAACATGCGTCCTCAGTCTTCGAAACTCTTCTATCTAATAAGTCAAGGAAATAATTATTTGAACACTTTAGCTGATGGTCTTATTGTCAGAAAACACATTTGCTAAGTAGTAGGCAACTTGAAGTCACATATATACACATGTATATCTAATGCCGCTGGAGGTGAGACCCTCTTATCTTCACAGAAGGCCCCAAAATTTTGTTGCTTGTGGTAAAGAACAAGATGGTTTCTTCTCCATTTCATTCACAATAGTTGACTGAACTGGTAACTGAATGTTCCTTTACTGCCCATGGGACAGTATCCTTCATGCCAGTTGCATGAGGAAGGCTAACTTATAGAACTAGTGTGACGTGATGGTTCGAGTATTGGAGGAGACCAGTGTTCAAATCTCAGTCAACCATGGAAACCCACTGGATGACCTTGGGCAAATGATACTCTCTTAGACTCAGAAGAAGACAAAGGCAAATCCCCCTGAACAATTCTTGCCAAGAAAACTACATGAGCATCAGGCTTATGATTAAATCACAAATGACTTGAAGGCTCTTGACAATAAAATCAAATTTAAAGAAACCAAGTTATGTCAATGCCTATATAAACCAGCTCTCATCTACTAAAATCCCCTACATCTGAAGAGGACATGTAATTCAAAGTTCTGTATTTCCATCAAATTCAATATACATTTTGGATCAAATATTAGATGACAATGGCCACTTAAATTAAGAGATATGTGATTCAAATATACATTTGTACAATGTCAGATTGTAGCAATAATAATTAATCACTGTCAAGAATCGGAGTCTCTGCAACCTTAGGTTGTCAGTTCCCATGGACATAGACCAGATTAAGGGGATGTTAAGAATCTACTGACTAGATTATCCACACAGTTTAGAAATGTTACTGTCATGCTACACCCAGGTGGAGTCTGGGAAATGTATATTCCTACAGTAATTTTTCCAAGCTTTGCTAAATTACAGCCTATAAACTAGTTGTCCCTCACTCTCGCTTATGCTGTGGGTCATTCAACATCAATTTGAAAGGATGTCTCCTTCCACATGGCCAGAAACCCAATCTGGCATTAGCCAGAGTCCATGACTGGAACAGCCACTAGACCTATGGAGAGATCTGCTGGCATTCTTTTTATTGGGTACTGAATACATGAACAGAGTTCATCCATGTCTCTAGTGAAACATGTAGTAGTAATTACTTAAAAGCAAATTTTACATGATGGCCCTATTTGTGTATTTGTATATTTCTTTCTTTAATTGTCAGAATGTCTATTTTGTTCAGTGACATTTTTGTCTTATTTCCTGTATATTGCAATGCATCCAATAACTGGTAACAATCACATCTCATTTCTGACCTTTCTTTTGCTCTCAGTGACACAAAAGATTTAACCTTTATTTTCAAAGCCATGTACCAACTGATCTAATGATATCTTCAGGGTAAAGTAAATGTAATGCCCTGTAAAATATTTGCACGCTATAACATTTCACTGCAAATTATGTTCTAAGATCATTATAAGCACTGCCCTTACCTGGAGTTGGGATACAGTTAAAGGATATCTAAATAAGATCCACGTAACGCCTTCACTGCAAGGTGGGACTGTGAGGGAGCCTTCGTACACCCAATAATCTCGTAATAATGGATCTGGAATTAGACAGTCTATTTTGAAAACAGCAATGAAAGCCACTTTTGTACAATTATTTCCAATTTCAAGATGAAGGGACTGATTAAAAATATGAAGACCCAGCAACAAAAAAAGAACAATTTTAGGGATAAAAGAGCAACAGTTTGATTTTTCTGGTCAAAATTTTAGAGAATGTAGGGAAATGAATTAAGTTCGAATCTGGGGAGCAGGGTGAGCTCCCGCTGTTAGCCCCAGCTTCTGCCAGCCTAACAGTTTGAAAACATGCAAATGTGAGTAGATTAATAGGTACCACTCCAGTGGGAAGGTAACGGCATTCTATGCACATGACCTTGGAGGTGACTATGGACAACGCCGACTCTTCAGCTTAGAAATGGATATGAGCACCAATCCCCAGAGTCAGACATCACTGGACTTAATGTCAGGGGAAAACCTTTACCTTTTCTTTAGGGAAATGACCCTATAAGATTTTTCTTTCTTGTTTAGATTGAATAAAATGCCTTTTAAGACATCTCATTCAACAAAAATGGCAGGAACTGTGTAGTATGAAAATGTAAATGCAGGACAATCTATAGAATTAGAGAGCAACATTGGAATCCATGATATATTGCTAAACCTAGAAGATGCTGCCGTCTTCATGAAAGAGTATACGGGGAGGGCTTCATTGTTTAGTGGTGACAAGAAAAAACTGAAATATTTGTTATTTTCAATGTTGAGTTAAAGTTGATGTCCAAATATTCTTCTAACCTTGGCTTTATATTTGTTACCGTTTTATGCTGTTGCTATCCAAATAATACTTTATTTTGTTTATTACAAAATTTGTGATTTCTATTTTCTTTTTTTCCCCTCAGAAGTGAAAAACAAGGATATGTGTGCATAGAACCCAGCAGTTTGCAATATATTCTGACTAAAGGGATGTTTATGAATGAAACATTTGACATTGCTAATGTATCATACATTGCTGGAACAGTTATAAGTTTAGGTTTAATATTAAATTTAATATTGCATATATTTCTGAAGCCATGATGATTTATGATCTCAGAATTTCTGGAAATTTTACAGTTCTTGCCATGATCCAGTATTGTATCCATAGTCTAAATGGTCTTCCAGCTGGAGCCCAAGGACAGCATCATATGCTGGTGGACTACAGATAGATGTACTTCATCTTCAAACTATACCTCAGCTTAGAAAGGATTGGATAGATGACACTATTGGTTATAGAACTGTAGTAAAAAGTATGTGTAGGATCTTTTCAGGAAGAGTCAAATAAAGACTACAATTTGATCTGGCATGGGGTATCATCTTCCATGTAAGGCTTTATCGGCCATGGTATTTCCCCAGAATATACCTCCACATTTCTGATTTTTACTTGTATAATTACATAGCAAAGACCTCCCCCCCCCCCCCCCCAGTTCAGCACATATTCAACCCTCACCAAGCAATACACAAATGAATGTGAAGTCCAAACTGTGCTTGCCACTTGGTGGCAGTACTATGCAAGGACCATTATATTGCCATGCTAATGTATGGAAACTGTTATTTGAAACCCTCAACAAAAGACCTTCTCCAGCAAACAGAAAGACTAAGTGATTACTAAGTTTTCTATGCAAGGCAAGAATTTAATGATTTTTAACTCAGGTCTTCACCCCCTTCTTCTTTTTTAAGGTGGCATTTCTCCTGAATTTGCAAAGGAATTACCCAATCAATTCATGGAGATTAAAAAGACATCTTTATGATGACCATATGGGGTGTTGTGGCTGAGTTTTTTTGGTATGCACTAGATCTACAGTGTTATAAACACTGTTATAACAACAAAATTGTTATAACCATGTTAGAGTGCTATATGACATATAGCCCGGAAAAACCTACAACAACCCACAGAAAGACTTCTGTTAGAAAATTCCACTATAGGGAAAGAGAAAACCTGAGGCCTGGGAGTAAGAAACGAAGAATATGTTGTGCCTCAGGGGAACTGAAGTCAACCCTCAGGGCCTACGGGTGAAGAAGAAACTGAGACAACACAAAAAGGGACAAATCACAATCTTTTGTGGGCGGTTGTTGTCTCCTAGAGGAACATAGTTTTGTGCAAATATGGTTACATGTTTCTCCAGTTTCCGCAGTTAACCGCCTTTTGCAGAGAGTATGTGCTTAGCACAGTATAATTTCACAGCAAAATGACACTGAGGCAACAAACCATTGGACCCAACCCCTCTTTCTTGGTTCTCATCGCTACCACTAAGTGGATACTTAATAGTCCAATGAACATATTGCTTTAGGTAGCATACAGACATGGAACAAAAATCAAGACCTCATACAATAGGAATAATAGCAATGTATCTCTATCCAAAACAAGCATAATCAGTTTTACAAAACCATCCTGCACAGTAAAAAATACTATACAAATTACCTTTGCCAGTTTATAATTGCTGGTGGGTATATATGCTGACTGCCTGAATTCCACTGGAATTACAGTTTAGAGACAGGTATTTAGAAAACTATTACTCATTTCTGTGAAGAATATGAACGTTACCTAGTGGGTATTAAATATGCACTGTCCTGGCAAGAGACCATTCATCACCACTGCTATTTATATGGGATACACCATTTTCAGAGCTACCTTTGCTAGCACACCAGTGAGTTAAAACTATTGTTTTCACTGAAAGAACCACAAAAGATTTATAGAGAAGTGAGAGATTGCAATGAAAGTTAACTATACATACACCTTTTACAACAGAGTTTTCATAGCAAAGCAATAAACACTTACCTGGTAATAGTGAGTTGGGATTAAAACATGGTATTGTCTTTGACTTCCCCTGTAAATTTGGCAGAAATAAGAATTGCTTTTGCCTTCTCTTTTAAGAAAAAGCAGGAGTAATTTAAGGCTTTTATGGCTCATGGAAAATGGACTATAATATGCCACACTAAATAAAAAGAATGCAGTTTGAGTGAGGAGGAAAAAGTACAATCCTGGTAGAAAAAACCATCAAACTTTTCTAGTTATGAAATAAATGTTCATTAATTTTGTTACTGCATGCAATAATAAAGAATTTCGGGAGCTTTCTCCTTGGAAAGTGAGATTATGAGAGGTTTTGCACATTGTTTTTGAAATTTCAGGATTTTTGTGAACTTTTTAATGAAAATAATATTTAATATTGAAAACAACGTGTTCTAGACAAAAAACAGTGCAAAAAATCTCACAGTATTGTCGAAGGCTTTCATGGCTGGAATCACTAGGTTCTTGTGGGTTTTTTCGGGCTATAGAGCCATGTTCTAGAGGCATTTCTCCTGATGTTTCACCTGCATCTATGGCAAGCATCCTCGGAGGTAGTGAGGTCTGTTGGAATTAGGACAATGGGTTTATATATCTGTGGAATGGCTGGGGTGGGGCAAAGAGCTTTTCACACCTAGCTCCAGCAGAGAAAAGCTCTTTGCCCCACACCAGCCATTCCACAGATATATAAACCCATTGTCCTAATTCCAACAGACCTCACTACCTCTGAGGATGCTTGCCATAGATGCAGGCGAAACGTCAGGAGAAATGCCTCTAGAACATGGCTCTATAGCCTGAAAAAACCCACAAGAACCTAATCTCACAGTAGTTGATGTCTCTCTTTTTTCAATGGGGTACTTCAATGTGTCAAGACACTCTTTCTTGTCTAGGATGAGAAAACCTGAGAATAATCTTTCCATCCTTATTTTCTATAACGGACAATATATGCTGCTCAAAACTAAGCTGTTACGGTTCAGTGGGGCTTACTCCCGAAGAAACAGGCGAAGCATCAAAAGCAAAACCTTGTTTGAACTTTCATTGCAAGGTTTCCGAAAGCTTGACATCTTGATAATTCATTTATTCTCCTCCTTGGAATTTCTACTAATAATTTCCCCACAGAAATAGACAACTTCCCATCAGAACCCTTAACATGGTATTTTAGTAGTTAACAAATCTAGTTTATTAGTACACAACTCAAACCCCAAACATTTTTCTGAAGCTTTTTTATAGGTTCTGGCTGTTTTTAATTGCCACAGATAAAGTGACATCAGGAAATGTATACCTTTGGATATTTATATAGAAAAAATGTCATCCAATGTTTCCCTGATTTGAACCACAGAATCTCTCATCATTGGCCAAAGCAATGATTACTGGGAGCTGAAGTCCAAAACACCTCGAGGTTTCTGGGAGCTGAAGTCCAAAACATCTGGAGGACTAAAGTTTGGGGTTCACTGTACTAGTCTAAAATCAGTGTGATCATAGGTGTAAAGGTATAAAATTAACTTCAGTCTACATGTATAAGATTTATATGAAACATAAATGAATGCTGAGATCAGACTTGGATCCCATCTCCAAAAGCATGTCTACATGGGCCGCATCCCCCAAATTGGGCCAGAAGTCAGTCCTGGAGGATCACACAACATTCAGGGAACTCCCTGCCCCTTACAAGAGGCAATACAGGTTAACCTAATTTTACCCACATTAGCAAAAGTTGTGAAATGCTTCAGAGCTTCCCTGAAACTGAGGAGCAATCTTGTACTTCAAGGTTGGTGTGATCAGCTAGGCCAGTCAAACTGTTCACATAGGCCAGTGCAACCATCCATGTTATGTGAAGTCCATAGTGCAGGGAAAAGTGAATGGCAATTACCTTTCCTGACATTAATCACTGCAGCAGCTGGCACAAAAATATCCAGAGTTCCTGGCTACCCTGGCCATTGGGAGATGCCTTTGCTGATATCTGCAAAAGCACCTATACAATCTGGGTAAAGGAGAGGGGTCACTTCCTCCTTTCCCCAGGTTGTATGGGCGCATTTGCCAATATCACCAAAGGCATCCGACAATAGCCAAGAGTTCTCCTAGGTCCTTTGGCTGCTGTTTTGGCAACAAACATCAGAAAGGGTGACAATCCAGGGCCAGACCAGATTTAGTTTGACTGGACAGTCAGGACTTCGCTCCCACCTCAGCCACAGTTTGGGAACAGAGCATACAAATTTTTATTTTATTTATTTACTATATTTGTATACCACCCTTCTCAGCCTGCGGGCAATTCAAGGCAGTTTACAGACAGCAACAATTCAATGCCCAAATACTTCCATAGAACCTGGGGGTGGCCCAAAGCAGCCACTATAATTTTAACATATATTTATACAACACCATCCTTTTAGCAAACTTTAAATGACCAAATTATTCATTGAAACAAATGCTTCTTCCCTTAAACCATATTTTACCTTGTACTGGATATCTTGCAAAATTTCAGTTACAGCCTTTAGGCCCGAATGTTCCTTTCCGATCTGAAATATAATTCACAAATATACAGAAAGATTGACATACAGTGCCAATGGCATTTCTTAACTCCAAATCTATGCAATGACAAAATTGTCAACAACTGAAGTCAAAGCTGTGTTCATTTCATCTCAATTGTATGACATTTTGCATGACGTTCAAGATTAAAGCAGATGGTAGGAGAGGACCAAGGTATCACACTGCTGAAGAAGTGAATTGCCCCTTTATGCCTTAAGGTTTCATTCATCTTATGTCAAAATCAGACATCACTGTGTAGTAAAAACACCAAGGTTGCCATTTCTTCATATCTGAAAATCAGACAGAAAAAGATTGTTCTGTCTGGATCTTTGTCTATTCATGTGCTGTGTGGTTTTGTACATTGAACTGAGAGTAAATAATTTTGACATTACTTGTATATACTGCTGTTCTTCGAGACATCTCAAAATGCATTTATTTTATCATCACAACCACCTTATATAATTAAGATTATCAAAGCTAAAACTATTACCAAGGCAAATGTAGGCACAACTCTAAGATTATGTTTGTCTGACTAGATCATAAGCAATGTTATTTTTTCCTCTAGATTGATCAATGTCTATGAAATTCAGTATCTTGAGAAGAAATCTATTCCTTAAATATTTCATGAAAACACAGGTGCAGATTTCCATTGCGCTACTCTGAAACCTAGTAAACTGGAGGGACAAATTCCACAAGTCAAAGACATATTGCTTCCTAAGACAAATGGTGTCAGCTTCATCCCCAATTCTAGGAGCATCATATCCTAGTAATTCTGACATCTGGGGTTCAAAAATATATAGAAAAGAAGAATACTGAAATAATAACTTGATACTTTACAATCCACTATATTTACCTAATATAAAAAAATCTATATTTACCTAATACAAAAAAAATCTTCTGCCTAAGGTAATTATCTCACCTTGCTGTGTCTATGAGTGGAGTCAGCCTGACAAATACTTTCAAGCAAATGAGAATATATATCCAAATCTGAACTTCATTATTTTATGCACGCCTAGACACCCCAAAATTGGATCAAACCCATTGGATGAATCTGGTTTTCTTCCAATAGACATATCATAGTTCATCAGGATTAAGGTTGTGGTGAAGAGACATTTTAATTAAAACAAAAATAGCTAGCAATGCAACAATCCCTTAAGTAAACTGCACTGAGAAATGATGAGATTTATTTAGCAATTCCGTGAAACTTTCTGAGTAACTCCAAGGTTAGCTTTGCTGAAATTGGAGGTCAGCTTACAAAGCAATTACAGAACATCCTCTGAAGACAGAACTTGCGGGGGGGAGGGGGGGGGGACTAAAGCTACTTCCATATTTTAACAATTCTGTCTCAATACAAACTTGAAATCAAACTTTCTTCTATGGCATACTATTTAAAGAGTTCGTCACAACTTCATTATAATTATGTCATACTCCAAACAACTTTAACTATGGTGTTTGTAGATAGGACAGCCAGATATCTCTTGTACCTACTGACAATTAAGTGAGATAGAAATTTGGCAATCATAGCTTTAAACACCACAATGTCACATATTGTACTTACTGAAAATCCTACTCTAATGTAAAATATGTAGGAGCCTTTCTTCTTCTACACAGGAACATTCAAACTCATGGTCAAATTCATCTTGCAAAAGCTCCTCAATACAGCTTGTAGGAACCATTCTTTTAAGTATACCCCTATCAGTCATCACATTCTTTACTCTTGACTTCTCTGAGATTTTATTTGAGAGGGAAAGAGTGTCCTTACACTTTCCCCCACAGGTCTGATTCCACCTGGCTTAGGTCATTTTCCAAATGATTCAGAGTACAAGCACCAGGGTAAATGCCCCATTCCATCATGAAGGAGTGAGGTGCCCTCTCTCATTTGGACCACAGATTATCAATGAATGAGACTTTACTGGGGAGTCTGGAAGCTTCAGAAGACTTTTACAGTTTCTATGTGGGGTAGGTGGCTTTCAATACTGCAAATCTCCATAAACCAGTAATGACTATCTTCTGGATTTCCAGTTAAGAATAATCTCAGGTCCTTAATGACTTGTGTCATTAAGCATTGCCCTCCCTGACTATCCAATCAGACAAAACCTAGTTTGACCTAGCTGAATGGTCACCCTTACTTTTGTCATTGTTTGTTGCTGCAGTGTTAAGAGATGTCAGCCATGACCAGGTGACCTTGCCAATGTCAAAAAAGCTGTCCATGTGACTTGGAAAGGGGAGGAGGAAAGGACAATCACCCTCCTTTTTCCAAGTCATGTGGGCAACTTTGCCATCTTCACAGGGACATCTGGTGATGGCCAAGAGCTAATATTTGCTGTGGTGACAAACAATGACAAAGGTAAGTGCCATGTCCCATTCTCCATCCCGCACAGTGTGTGGAAAGTGAGATGACAGCACTGACCCATCTGAACAGCAAGGTGACCAGCAGAATCAGCCCTACAGTTCATCCTTCCTCCCCAAAGAAGTGCTGTAGCTTGTTTTACCCCCATCAGGATCCAGAAGTCCCTAAGCATCATCCAGACACCCAGGAGCAACTTCTAGCCTATTTCAGAATATGTGAGCTGTGTAGACAGGCATTTATTCAGTGAGATGGGGTTGGAAACATGTAATCTAATTTACTTTGTTCTATTTAAAAGGTGGAAACATACCAAAAGGTGAATCCTGGCACAACCGCGACTGGGAGGGAGGAGGAACCTAACTAAGTAAATACACAGACCCACTGGAGGGATTTTCCAAGTGCAGCAACAAATCAACTCAGCCTTGCAAACTATTAATCTGTTGCTCTTTTAGCTGAGTGGAGCATTGTACACAGCTCTCTCCTTTTGCCTGGAACTGAAATCCCCAAAACTGGAAAATGTGCACCCTCATAATCTATCTAAAAATGAAAACTAGAGTCTTGGGGCCAAGTCTTGAGATCTGGGAACTGTAGTTGCTCCATTAGTTATTGACAGATTTTAAATCATTCTTTTAAAAGTAATTTCAAAGTGAAGAGAAAAATCATATATTTTTCCTAACACAAAACAACACAATCACTACTATTTATTTATATCTGAAAACCTAAATCAGTCTTTTTATATGAAGATCTCAATTATGAATTTCACATCAATTTTTTAATATTTATGCCCTTCTACAAAGCAATAAAGGGCTTCCATCTCATGAAAAAGTCTGCTCACATTTGTCCTAATTTAAATTACAAATAGTTTCTTCCATTAATACAAGATCTTAAAGCTTCTTTAACCAAATCATTATCTGGTGTGTGCTTTGATCTTCCCCATGTCTATGGACATAAGCTCTTATACCTACCACAATATCACATGTACGGTTCATTACATTAAGAACGCACTGTTAATATTCCCAAAAAGATCACTTTTTTTCTTTCAGAATCAATTTATAACATAACATTGATTGTGTTCTGAATAATCCTCTAAAATCTTTCCACTTTTAAATCACCTATTTTAAAAAGAAAGCACCTTGTAATACAAGCTCCAAGGTTTTTTGAACTAGACGATTTTATGACATATTTTTGGATTGTGTTTCAAATACTGTTCTAAAATTATTTCTTCTTTTAAATTTGTTATTTAAATATCCCATAATGCAAGTTGTGCGTTTAGTGAACAAGATACAGCTCTCTTCAATACTTTGGTATCCGAGAAATCAAGGGGCTCCTGAGAATATGTCAGCATCCCATATCCAAGACATTAAAGTGCAGATTTCCACAGTCCTTGTCTGATCCCTTTCAGTGCTGTTCTTAAGAAAAATCTCCAAATGTATAGATTATGTAATTGATCAATGTTCTGATACCATAGAAGAAACCAAAGGCACATTGTCTCCTCTTCATACTTATTCTTGGAAAGGTATGCTGATAGATTCTTGGAAACACTTTCACTTGTTGTTGTGAAACAACTGATTTATGAGTTTTGTCCCTAACAGCAAATGTTCCAACTGCACAAATCACCATGCTAGAAAAGTCAAACAAACACACAGCATGGTTTGTTCCTGGCTGATACCTACATCCATGGGGATTTTGCCAAAGGAATCAGTATCTCTTCTTTGCTATATGCAAACATTTCATTTATGAATATGCCTTAATTCATTAACTAAAAGGATAACACAGATATAATTTTAGATTATTCTTATAGAGTTTTTTACACTGAATTCAGATCTGTGTTTATTTTTTTCTCTATCAAGTGTAGTTTTTGCAAGTGTAGTTTTAGGCTAATCAAATAATTAATGCATTCATGCACTGATATCAATATAATCTAACTGATATCAGAGCATAAATGCATTAATTATTGTATTCGCCTCATTGCAAAAACGACATGTGATAGAAAAAAATAAACACATATCTGAATTCAGCATGAAAAGAACTCTATAAGAATAATCTAAAATCCTATCTGATGAAAAATACTTGTTGGCTTGTGTTACATGAATATGGTGTGAAATATGCAGACATTACAGTAGTCCACTGTAATGTACCATTCGTCATATTTTTAAAAGTTGACATGGTAGAAAAACAATAAAGACATATATAAAATCAGCATAAAATTGATTTAAACTGTGCTACTCATTTCTGATGGTTACAAAAAGTTTGATTTTGTTGGTGTGTTTAATCTAAGGCGGATGTTCTCAAACTGTGCTCCCTGGAGCCCCTGGGGCTCAGTGAGTAATAGTGAAGGGCTCTACAGCCCCATGCTGCTTCCTGTCTGCTCGTCTTCCCTCCTCCTCCTGAGAAATGTTGGGAAAATAAATTTTGGAACCACCAAAACAGCAGCAGCAGCCTCCTCCTGGGGCGCAGACCCTTTCTCCGCCGCCTCCCTCGCCACCTAGGCTCTTTTTCTTGCTGCCCAGACCTTCTCTCTCCACCTCCCTCACTGCCCAGACTCCTTCTCCGCCTTTCTTTGTTTCCAAAACCCTATTTTGCTCCCACCGCTCATATTACTATTATTGTTATTATTAAAAGGCTGGATGTCCATCTAAGGCAGTGGTTCTCAACCTATAGGCCCCTTGATGTTTTGGCCTTCAACTCCCAGAAATCCTAACAGCTGGTAAACTGGCTGGGATTTCTGGGAGTTGTAGGCCAAAAAACCTGGGGACCCACAGGTTGAGAACCAATGATCTAAGGGTTTGTACACTAAGGTAAATTCTAACACAATGACACTTACTCTAGTTCGGGAGTCATTCCTAATGCCTCATTAAATCTGTATTGCCAAACTTGTTATCACTCCATAACAAGGAAAATTGTTGTCATTAAGATTGCCTTATGAACACTGCCATGTAAATATTTAGGGAAAACTTTAGGTACTCAGTTTGCCTTATCTATGGCCCCATCTACACTGCCATATAATCCAATTTAAATCAGATAATATGCATTCAGAAACTGGATTATATGATCAGTGTAGATGGGATCTAAATGTGTATGTATATTTGTTTTTCCAAACTGCACTATTTTCCTAGTTATACATCATGTGTCTAACTGAAGCACAAAAATCCTCACCCGCTTCATTCTGAACAGGAAACAACTTGATAGCAAGTTTTATATACTTTTCTCATAGTTTAAGAAGATTTAGATGAAAGGCATAGTTTCTTGTTACAGTAACTGCAGTATCACTACAACTTCTCATCTTGCAATCGCTGTACAAGAAAGATATTTGCAACATTGTATTTCCCATTGTTGTGATGAAAATGCCTATTTATTCATATTTATTTAGCATAATTATCACCCATAATAAATAATACCAAACACACTATACAATATAATGCATTGTAATGTCACAGCCAAGAAAAACATACCTGTACAAATAAAGCAATAATGGCTATGCCATTCTTCTTCCCAATTGCTTCATCAATATTGTGGTACATTGTGGAGTTCCAGTGGACTAGATGAAGCTAGAGAAAAGGGAACAGAAGGACATAAAGAACATCACTTATTGGAAAGATGCTCTTCAATAAATAATCGCTCAAGAAGTGAGCAGTGGAGATCTGTACAACTGAACACTATCCATTCTCATTTCAGCATTTTTATCTTCCTTTGCCACATATGAATTCACCAGTTTAAAAAATGACAGTCAGACAACAAGAATTGTTAAAATATCACACATTAAAAGAAATGGATAGTAAAAGCATGCACCAAAATGTACAACGAACTACCCAAGTCCTAGGATAATAAAACTCCCTTCATCTGGCACCTTTAAAAAATCACTACATGGACTTTTTTGAGAAAAATGCTCCAAAGACAGAGAACCAGAAATGGAATAGGCAGCATGTTCTAGAAGCCACAAGTGAAATCCTTCAGTCATGTGATATAATTACTGTTCATTTCCCTATTTGAAAATAAAAAATATAAATTACTAGATCTTATAACACTGGATGAGTCCAGGTTTTAATACTCATATACTCATACAAGAGACCTATGAAAACCCTATAAATGCATAGGGCCATCATATCAACAGGTGACTTGAAGGTGCATACACACATGTAACATATAGAAAGTACTTAACTGAAACCATTTCCTTCAGTACAATGAGTAATTTAAATCGTTGTCTGTTCTGTTATAATGAAGTTATTGTTACACATATACATGCACACACTCCTCTAGGTTGGTTGCAATAATGGGTGAAATGTTTTCTGATACTTCATATCTATGTTAGCATCATAACTGCAAGGGAGAGCGATGACAGAGCAGAAACAGGAACATGAGAGAAGGTGTTAGAGCAGTGGTTCTCAACCTGTGGGTCCCAGGTGTTTTGGCCTACAACTTCCAGAAATCCCAGCCAGTTTACCAGCTGCTAGGATTTCTGGGAGTTGAAGCCAAAACATCTGGGGACCCATAGGTTGAGAACCACTGGGCTAGAGGGATGCTGACATAGTCCTGAGATTAGTCCCAGAGAAACCATGTCTTGGGAAAGTCAAACAAACATTAAAGCAAAATGTTTAAAAGACATGAACAAAGATACTTCCTTTCCTTTTCTCATCTGCACCTCCACCTCTGCTGAGAGGGATGAGTGGAATGAGGTGAGTTGAGTGACTTCATGTTAAATTAGTGGGGGCAGGAATGACCTCTAGTTGGTCTATGAGCCACATGGGTTCATGGGTGGCAATGCATGGCAAAGGGAGCAGGTAGTACCCACGGAGGCCATTGGGGCAGGTCTGGAAGATGCATCCTCCAGACCTGCCCCATTACTGTTAATGGAAAATGTTTCATGTTGTGGACCACAGTATGTCAAGGATAATATGCTATGAGTTATATGGTAATATGCTGGTGGACAGGAGCCATCAAAACAAAATGAGATCAGAGCCAAATGTGGAGTCTCTATAACAGCAGAATTATAGATCTCTCTCTCTCTCTCTCTCTCTCTCTCTCTCTCTCTCAATTAGGGCTGCGTGAAAGTAGGCTAAGGGCCATACCCCTCCCCCTCCCAACATAATCTGCTTCTGCTTGAAATTCTGTTAAAATCAATGAAATATAGCTCTACAGTCCAATAACTTCTCAACTCAATGGGATTTTAGAGTATCACATTGTTTGCTGCCTAAATATGAAGCAGATGTATATGTCTACTCTGAATTAAAACAAATGTTTGCCTATCAATTTAGCACATATAATGTCACAGAAGCACTTAATTAAATACAGATCAAAAGAGAAAAAAGAACAGTGAAATCTAGACTTTCAAAAATTTAATACTTAATTCAAAAACACTCTCATCTCCAACTTGTTATGTATATATTGAACATTTCAGCTACAATTATTGCATGCTTACCTTTTGTATCAAAAACCGTGTTTAAAAGAAAAGTACAACATTAATATTCAGCATGTCACAATTAGACGGAAGGCACTCATTGCTCAGTCTGGTATTCAAAGAATGTTATGTGTCAAGAGAATATAAAGAAGTAAATTATACTGTTTCACTTTCTTACAATAATTTGTCATGCTATTTTTTAGTTATTTGTCACAGGCATGAACAATTCTAGTCGTTTCTCATGTTAAATGATTCATTTAAATACAAAATAATATGTTGACATTTCAGTTCCAGACTCTTATAAAGTCAACAAACAGAGTGCACGCTCAGAATGAGGCCACACTGTTTGATGCATCATTTCTCTTTTATTGTTTGCTTTTTCTATCAGTCTCCACCAGAGGGAACTCGTGATGTCCAAAGAGTACAATGCAAGCTCAGGAAAAGAGCTTACAACACAAAGATCAACAGAAAGAAACTCCTTGTACCAAAGGTTAAGGTTCTAACCAATGACCCTGTTGCAAAAACAATACTCAATACCACTCCTGTTGTTATCTTGTTAAAGTCGACATATACGTTGCTGTAAAGAGCTGTAACAATGTTACAAGAGACAAAAGTCCAGTTTACTGTGACCATTTGTCAGAGTCACTAGACGACATTTTGGGTAGCACTACAATTACTTTTATTATGTTCAGCAAAGCATAAGGCAATGTATCTTAAACACATGTAAAAGAGATGTGCGCACACTATATTGAGAAACAAAAGCAAGCCATGTCGGGATGGAACAAAGGATATAATGAAAAGCATTACTTTAATTATAGTTCATGTTCAGAAGGGTAAAGATGTGGAACAGATTCCTACTCCAAGAATTAAGAGTTGTCTTATTTTTTTAAAGATCTGGAAATACTGAAATACTAATACAGAATAGTATATTTTTGTTAGATGAAAAAGGAGCATATTTTACTTTTGCAACCTTGTTCACTGGTAGGAATGAGGGGGTGGGGTTGGTAAAATAATATTTGTACTTTGATTGTTAAATTTCATAGATTGTATGCTTTTTTCACATAACACAATAAAAAAAATTAGTCAGAAAATATGGAGACCACACCTACTCTGTCCTGTCCAATGCCTTATCTCCAGCTCCTCAAAAGCTATTGTACTCTAATTGTTGTAGAATGGTTATGTCTTATACTCCACAGCTCTACAGCTGACCAGCAATCTTGTGGTAGGACAACCCAGCACCCCACGCCCCATATTGCTTGACTCCAGCTGACAGAGGTCAGATGGCGGAAGCATGAGCACGTGGCTTCCCCCAAGGATTCCAGTGGCAACAGGCCCCATGTGGAGAGGTTGAGAATGACTACAAAGTATGACATGTAATTGTTGAAATGATTGAAAGTTCTCAATCTCGTGCCTCTTGTCAGCTTAATACTTAAAATCACGTTGTACAGCCTGCTTGAAATTTATCATTATACATAATCTGTGTCTATATAGATATTCTGATTCTTTCTGATGTCACCAAACTGATCTCTGAATTTATAAGCCAAGGAAGAAGGACCAATTCTCTTTCAAACAGTTATTTAACATTGATGGTTGATATTCTATTCTTTGTAATCTACTTTTTAAATATACAAATTGATTCACCACAAGGATAATTATTATTATTATTATAACTTTATTTGTACCCCGCTAGCATCTCCCGCAGGACTCGATGCGGCTCACATAGGCCAAGGCCTCAAACACAATACAACAATACAATACATAGAGCAAATTAAAACAGATTAAGCAAAAATAAACAACAACAATAACAATACATAGAGACATCAGAAACAATATAAAACTGGGCCAGGCCAGAGTGATGGGTACAGGATTAAAAGTGCTGATGTGGCAGGGGGTATGTAGGATTATAAATTAAGTGCAGAGTGCGGTGTACAATGGCCATTAGTTCAACTAAAGTGCTTCTAGGACTTGGTATTGGGGATTCCTAATCTGGAAAGGCACATCAGAACAGCCAGGTCTTCAAGTTCTTTCTGAAGACTGCCAATGAAGGGGCCTGTCTAAGATCTTTGGGGAGGGTGTTCCAGAGTCGGGGGGCCACCACAGAAAAGGCCCTGTCTCGAGTCCCCGCCAAACGCGCCTGCGACGCAGGCGGGATCACGAGCAGGGCCTCTCCAGATGACCGAAGTGAACGTGTGGGTTCATAGACGGGGATGCGATCACGTAGGTAGGGTGGTCCCAAACCGTTCAGGGCTTTGTAGGTAAGCACCTGCACCTTGAATTGGGCTCGGAAAATAAATGGCAGCCAGTGGAGCTCCTTAAACAGAGGGGTAGACCTCTCTTGATAATGAGCCCCAGTTAACATCCTGGCTGCTGCCCGTTGGACCAGTTGGAACTTCCGAGCCATTTTCAAGGGCAGCCCCACGTAGAGCGCATTACAATAGTCCAATCTAGAGGTGACCAAGGCATGGACCACCCCGGCCAGATCAGCCTTCGCGAGGTACGGTCGCAGTTGGCGCACGAGTCTCAATTGTGCAAACGCCCTCCTGGTCACCGCCGACGCCTGAGCCTCAAGCGTGAGCGCTGAGTCCAAGAGGACTCCCAAACTGCGGACCTGTGGCTTCAAGGGGAGTGTAACCCCGTCCAACACAGTTGCCACCCTATACCCCGATCCGGTTTGCGATCGACCAGGAGGACCTCTGTCTTGTCGGGATTGATCTTCAGCTTGTTCCTCCTCATCCAGATAGACACAGCGGCCAGGCACTCGTCCAGCACCCGAGAGGCCTCCTTGGAATTAGGTGGAAAAGAGTAGTAGAGTTGTGTGTCAGCTGCATAGAGATGGCACCCAACTCCAAAACTCCGGATGACCTCTCCCAGCGGTTTCATGTAGATGTTAAAGAGCATGGGAGACAGAATAGAGCCTTGCGGGACCCCACAGGTCAAAGGCCAGGGATCCGAGCAGGCGTCTCCCAGCTTCACCATCTGGGTTCATCCCTCCAGGAACCGTGCCCCCGAGACCCATCCCAGAGAGGCGACCCAGAAGGATACCATGATCGATGGTATCGAAAGCCGCTGAGATATCCAAGAGAACCAGCAGAGTCACACTCCCCCTGTCCAGCTCTCTACGGAGGTCATCCACCAAGGCGACCAAAAGTGGTG